TTTTTTAGAAGCTCCCACTGTTCTTGGACTCCTTTTCATGTTAGGTAATCCTGCCATGGGACCTTACTTATCCTTGTTCTGAGATTATTAATATTGGCTTTTTAAAAATCGAGCAGAATTGTGTGGCTACACCCTACTTTCATTTCCTTTGCAATCAAGAATTCTAGAAGGACACGGTCACTCTCACCCAGAGTTCCCCTTACTGCCACTTCCCTCACCAAGTCATTTCTGTTGGTCAGAATCAAGTCAAGGATAGCAAATCCTCTAGTTTCTTTTTCCACTTCTTGTAGGAGAAAATTATCAGTCACACAAGTCAGGAATTTCTTGGAAGGGCCATACTTGGCAGAACTTGGTTTCCAATATATATCTGGATAATTGAAATCTCTCATCACTACTTTGTTGTCTCTATGAAAACGTTTCATCCGCTTCCTCTCTTTTATTGGGCAGTTGGTAGTAGACTCCAACTAGATTGATCCAGATGCTCTTGAGGGGACAGCCATCTCCTCCTCCTCCTGTATTTCTGTGCAGGAATGTGTATTTTTGATATATGCTGCAACTTTTTATTTTCTCTGTTCTTTTTGATCAGTTTATATCCCTCAATTGCTGTATTCCAGTCATGGGAGTCATCCCACCAGATTCCAGTTATTCCTATCAAGTCATACTTACCCTTTTGAATTTAAATTTCCAATTCTTCTTGTTTGTTTCCCATACTCCTGGCATTTGTATACAGACACCAAAGGGTGTGTGATCTGTGGCCTGTTTGTCTTTGTACATTTTTATGAATATCATTACGATTATTTATTTGATCACTGTTATATTAATGTTTATTATTGTGATGCCAGGACAAAGTTCCAAACAGAGTAGTCCTAGAACGAGCTAGAATATTCAGCATGTATACATTACTGAAACAGCGACGTCTACGTTGGCTTGGGCACATCGTGAGAATGGCTGATGGTCGGATTCCAAAGGATCTCCTGTATGGAGAATTAGTGCAGGGAAATCGCCCTAGAGGGAGACCACAGCAGCGATACAAGGATATCTGCAAGCAGGATCTGAAGGCCTTAGGAATAGACCTCAACAGATGGGAAACCCTGACATCTAAGTGTTCAGCCTGGAGACAGGCATTGCATCACGGCCTCTCCCAATTTGAAGAGACCCTTGTCCAGCAGGCCGAGGCAAAGAGGAAATCACAAAAGCAGCAAAACCAGGGAGCTGGACAGAGGACAGATTGGATCTGTCTTCACTGTGGAAGAGATTGTCACTCTCGAACTGGCCTCTTCAGCCACACTAGACACTGTTCCAAGTCCTCCATACAGAGCACATCACCATAGTCTTTCGAGACTGAAGGATGCCTAACTAACTATTGTGATTAATATTGTTAATGTTATTATTGTTGCCCTTTTGATCAGTTTGGTCTATTTCTCTTATTGTGTGTAAGGTTTCATCTACCCTTAACTATGGGCTTGCGTCTCCCTCCTCCTTCCAATTAAGTTTAAAGCCCTCCTGATGAAGTTCTTCATGCTGTGGGCAAACACTTTCTTCCCAGTTCTTGTCAGATGCAAGCCTTCTCTTGCTAGCAGTCCTCCTTCCAGGAAGCTTAGCCCATGGTCCCTAAAAACAAAACCCTCTCGTCGACACCACCTTCATAGGCAGACTCCACTTAATGGCATTTCGCTTATGCAAGCACAAATCAGCATTAGGATTCTGGCCACTGACTGCCTGAGCCCATCTTGGTGCCAGCAAGTATGAAAGGGGGGCTTGGAAAAAACCAAGCTGACTTGGGGATTCTAGGAGTAGTATTACATACATACATACAAACAAACAAACAAATAAGACCAACCCTTTCACAGCCCTGAGCAGGAATCACACAAACTTGTGAGAGTGTGGAAATTGCCAGCACTGTTACCTGTTTCCTCATTCTTTCAGTTTAGTGCACATAGGGTGAGGATGAGAACATATGAAATTACCATTTCAATGTTCCAGTATTGATCTGGTACACATGTGCAAAGCCTAAAACTAATTCTCAAACAAGTTATTGCTCCATGGCTTCAAAGTCAGTGACTAAAAACATTTGATGACTCACAGCTGAGTTACCACAGTCACTTAAAAGATATTGTTTTAATCCAAAGAGACATCAGTATATATGCAAATTCTATTGGTTGGTATTTCCCCAAGGCTGGCACTCCCATGAGACAGAAGGAGATGTATGCCACAGGCAAAGGAATGCAAGGGGTGGAAAATCTCACTTCTCTGGAGAAACTCAGTATCTACAGCCATCCAGACCCCAAAGGGCCCTCCAAAAAGCTGAGAACATGATGCCCTGGGAGGTTGCTTGGGCCACCACTGCATAGGCAAGTTCCTAGGCACCTTGCCTGCAATGTTTGGCTCAGAGACAAGCGTTCTGGATCACATCAGCTCTGCAGAGAGCATTGCCTGCTGCTTCATGAGGCTTCTGTTGCTGGAGGGATTTGGAACGGGGCTATTCACATTTTGGTGCAGAGAAAAGAATGCAGAGATCTACCATGTCTCACCCATTCCCTTGGAAAAGGAAAAATGATCACTCTGAATGCTTCTTAGTTAAAGGAAACAAATGAGGAAAAAAACCCACAACCCTTTTATTTGCAACTTATGACTTTGTTCTTTTCTACTCCTATAGTGCAGAGCTACATCTATTACTTTGGAAAGCAGATAATGGAGCAGGGAGGGAAAGTGGCTAACAAAGGAAGCAACAGGACGAAAGGGGCAATCTCAGGGACTTTGATATGGAAATACACTCTAAGCTTAGTAGCAGGTAGAGAGCATACTCCCCATAGACGGCCCCTGTTAAAAGAGAAGCATGCAAAGTTCTAGTTTTTCAACAGGTACTGCACTCCAATAAGCCTCCTTGCTTTTTGCCTTCCTCTCAGAAGGAGAGAAGCATAAGTAGCCGCTATGAAGGGTGCCAGGACACCTTCCCCTCCTGCCTCAGACACAGGTGATATTTGCATTTAATCCCTTGATGTGCACTTATTGCATATGCATTGAACTCACTTTCAAACTACCTACCAAAGCAATGAAGAGTTGGGTGTCTCTGGTATGTTCAGAAGATTTTGGCTGACATGAAGTTTGAGTGCAATAGCTTTACTTCCTTCAGCAGGCTTGGGTTGATATGGTATCTTGGTCTTCAGTTGGTTAACTTGGGACCACTACTGGACAATAGTCTCACCTGAAGCAGATCTTCCTCAGTGGTAGGTTTATTACTATCAGTACCCCTGAGAAAAAATGTAGGGTAAAAAACCTCCCACAAAGAAATGGCTCCTGAATGAATATAGTTAAAGTAAAGCAAAATTCCCAAAGGTTACTTTGGGGAAATATAGCTTCCAAAATCCCCTCGTGAGCATGTATTACAGTTGTACTCCAAAAGGTTTACTTTCCCATGCTTCACATTAAAACTGAGCTGCAGCTCAATTAAAAAAGCAAAGCGTGCTGCTTATATACTGCCCCATAGCACTTCAAGCACTCTCTGGGCGGTTTACAAGTTAATTATGCAGGCTACACATTGCCTCCCCCCCCCCCCCCCCAGTGAGCTGGGTACTCATTTTACCGACCTTGGAAGGATAGAAGGCTGAGTCAACCTGGAATACTATTGGTCTTCTAAACTTAAGAAACAGGGCAGGGGGTGGCAAACTTTTGGCATCCCAGAGCTTTGGACTTTTGATTCCCAGAATCTCCAGCCTGCACTGCCAACGAAAAAAGACTGTAGGAGTTGTAATCTGAAACATCTGGAGTGACAAATTTTCACCACCCCTACTCTAGAGGCCTCCAGCAGCAGCAGCTTTCAGAGTTGAAGTAGTCACTTCTTAAAAGGTAAAGGTTCCCCTTGACAAATTGTCCAGTCGTGTCCGACTCTAAGCGGTGGTGCTCATCCCCGTTTCCAAGCTGTAGAGCCAGAGTTTGTCTGTAGACAGATTCTGTGGTCACGTGGCCAGTGTGACTAGACACGGAATGCCGTTACCTTCCCACCAAGGTGGTCCCTATTTATCTACTCGCATTTACATGCTTCCGGACTGCTAGGTTGGCAGGAGCTGGGACAAAGCGACGGGGGCTCTCTCCGTCATGTGGATTCAAACTGTTGGTCTTTCAACCTTGCAGCCCAGAGGCTTTGAGGTTTAACCTGCAGCGCCACCATGTCCCTCTTGTCACTTCTAGATACCCTTTTTTAAAAAGGGGGAAGTAGCCACAGGAGCAGGGCTTGGCCCTCTTTTTAGGCTGAGGGAGACAGTGTGATCAGGTGTCAAGATGCCAAGAATGCACCCGTCACTCCAGCACCAGCTCTGCCACCATGACTGCTTTTCCTTGCCTCCAGCTGGGTAGAATGTGAAACATTCTCCAGGGTGAAAGAATGCTTGCTCTTGTGTAGTCAGCCCATGTCAGAGCAGGCCGGCTGGCTGCACTAAACACCCCACCTGGTTTTGTGCAGAGCTGGTAATTTTTATTTTATTTTATTTATATCCCGCCTATCTGGTCAATTACGACCACTCCAGGCAGCTTCTCTATGCACAGTACCGGCTCTGCGCAAAGATACACTCTCTGCTTCATGCTACCAAAGCCCCTCCACCTCAGGGGAGGTAAGCAAACACATACATCACCTGTGGCTGTGCTTCTTTACCACCAGTGTGGGTGGCCAAGGTGGTGGTGAGGTAGGGCATGTGTGGCAAACGGGAGGAAGGACCAAGAAGTGGCACCATTAGTGAGGCAGGGTGGAGTGGTGATTGTGGCTCTTCTCCTCTACCCTCAAGAGGTAGAAGTATAGCTCTCAGTACTTCCCCACTGCCTACTTCTTGTAGTTGGTACAACTCTATACACAACCTTCCCAGTGTCTGGCAATGTGTGTAGGGGAGTTGCCATTATGTTTCCTGGTTTGGGCAGCCTAATGGCTTGGGCCATACCTGGCCAGCGCTACCCATAAAACTACCTAATTAGCGGGTTTCTGCTTCTGTTTTCTCTTTTCTCCTACTCTGCTTAGGGTTAAACTTCTTATTGGAGTTTGGAGATTCCCCGGGTTAATATTTAAACAAGGCTCCATTGCTAATTAAATATACTGATGACCTCAGACAGGTCTTGTTATCAGCCTGGCACACCTGATGCATTTTTCATCAAGGTTTCTCCTCTTCTCACCTGCAAATGGATTGGTTTGGGGACTTGGGGGTGGGGAGTGAAAAACTGTGATTGAGATTAGACTCAAAAAAGGGGGGAGCCTTTGAGGATTTGATCCTGTAGGCAGGTCAGTCCCAAGCCTTCCCTGTAGGAGGCACTGCAGGGAAGAAAGCCCGCAGCTGCTCCCAGCCTGGTTTCCTTCTAATATGGAATCATTCCTCCAGGAGGCAAAGCATACAAGTTGAAAGAATGCTTGTTTTGAATTTAGCAATTAGAGATGCAGTCTTTCATGTTACATTTCCCATATGTCCGTTTAAACCATTTTTATCTGTAGTCTCTCCATAAAAATCTCTCTGTGTTGAGCAGTCTGTATCTGATACACGTGCATGTGTTTTGATAGGAAGATACCAGCATCTTTGACCTCTTGAACAACGATTGCTTGAACAAGTTACCTACCTGGTACATGATCTAAAGGGAAAGATGAATGATACCTTTATTAGACCACTGATAAAGGTATCATCCACCTTTGTCTCTTAATTCAATGGAGCAGCCTTTCCCAATGTAACACTCCCCAAAAAGATTAAACTACAGTATCTATCAGACCCATGCTGGTGAGGAATGATAGGAGTTGTAGCCTAACATATTGGGAGTGGGTTCAGTTGGCAAAAGGTTGTAATAGAGAAACTGCCTGGAAAGGAGAACTTTAGGACACAGAAACTTTCTGCCAGGGTAAAAGAAATGACACCAGTGGCAATTCTTCCGTCTTTGCAGCTTATCAAAGTACAAAAGCCTCATCTTGAATCTGGCAAGCTTCTACTTACAGGTGCACTGGCAAAGCTTGAGAGTGGGGCAGACTGAGCCCACGGTATGCACATTATATATTTACTTTCCCTGAAAAGATAAATGAGCCCTGTCAGCACAGGCTCAGTGCTGACAACAGCTGTGCCCCGTGCAGGAAGAGAAGCGAGACGGCAACCTGTAGTCTTGGCAGCAGCCTTGACACCATCTCCAGCCTCACTGACCCATGTCCCATTGTTCAAGCACTGGTCAAGTTCGAAGTGCCAAGTGTGAAGTATCAAGAGAAAGATGCTGCAGTTCTCTTTCGCCGATGGAACCTTCACACTGGGGTTTGCCGGAATCAGGATAGGATACTTGCGATCCTTAAACTGCTCACCGGGAACAGGTTTCTTCACTGTAGTCATGGGAGAAGCTATTCTTGCTGAAATTCTATAACACCTGGCTTTTAAAAAGTAAAGTGGTTCTGTCTAGTATTAAGAAAAGCTTTTAATTAATTTTTGAAAGCTGGCTGGATAGCTCAGTGGTTTGGGTATTTGGCTGCGGAGTCAGAAGTTGAGTGGTTTAGGTATTTGGCTGTGGAGTCAGAAGTTGGGGATTTGATTCCGTTCTCTACATCCAGAGAGAACAGCCAGCCTGGGTATCCTTTGGCAAGCGGCAGAGTCCCAGCGTGGCCCCAGAAGAATGGAATGACAAGACCACTTCTGAGTACTCTCTACTTGGATAACCTTGAAAAGGGCTGCCACGAGTCAGAATTAAGAGTTGGGCTATTCGTATCCCTGGGGACACGGATACAGGTGCCATGAAGATCCAGCCCTTCCCCCTCACCCCGTAAACCTAGCCAATCTACACACTGGTCACTGCTCAGCACAAACACCTATCATCTACATCCTCACATCAATCATGGAAGCAGCCCGGCTGGCACTTCTCTGTGCAGCCGAGAGCTCAACAACTACGCGGGAAGACTCTTCATCCCATCTCCTCATCCGAGTGGTTGGCTATGTGGGGAGGCAGGAAAGCACCAGCCAGGCTGCTTCCATGATCGGCGCAACGATGCAGACAATGGCTGCGCACGCACAGCATGGTGACCAGTAGTGAGTGGACCGGCTGGGTTCAGGAGGAAGGACTGGATCTCTACGGCACCTGGGTGCCGATATTCGTATTCCCAGAGATACGAATATGAATAGCCCAACTCTAGTCAGATTTGACTGCACATTATGATGACGACGTGGGATGTGGTGGTGCTGTGGGTTAAACCGCAGAAGCCTCTGTGCTGCAAGGTCAGAAGACCAGCAGTCGTAAGATCGAATCCACGTGATGGAGTGAGCTCCTGCCTCTTGTCCCAACTCCTGCCGACCTAGCAGTTTGAAAGCATGTAAAAATGCAAATAGGTACCCCCATGGTGGGACGGTAATGGCATTCCATGCCTAGTCACCCTGGCCATGTGTCCGTTTGTCTACGGACAAACGCTGGCTCTAAGAGACGTGGATGAGCACGACGCCCTAGAGTTGGACACAACTGGACTAAATGTCAAGGGGAACCTTTACCTATGATGATGAAGATGATGAAATACACAAGGAGCGTCAAGGGGAACCTTTACCTATGATGATGATGATGAAATATACAGGAGACCAAAATCCTTTGCACAGTTGGCAACCTGCCAGAAACTCAAATCCAAGTGCTGACTTACAAATGTTACTTTGACACATTTCTAAGTTCACTTATTGGGAAAGATTTTTTGGGGCTGGATTCCTCCAGCTTTACGTGCTCAGGCTCTATTATTGGTGTGGGCCAGTCCAGGGAATCCAAGGGCCAATTCCTTCCCTCTGCAGGAACCTGCCATGAGCCCACCTTCCAAACAAAACTAGAAATAGAAGAAGGTAAAAAATAAGAAATGCTGCTTGGGGAAGCTTCCAAGAGTATAAATACTCTATTTTGAGCTTTGTTTTTATTTTATTTGGGGTACCAGTGATCCACAAATCCTTGCACTATGGTCTTTTGACCATACTTACGTTAATGAGAAAAAAACTGACCCCAGTTTCTTTCCCCCCCAAAACTAAAGCAAAATGACATTGCATTATAACTGTTAACCAAACTAGAGAAAACTTTACACCTTTTGCTGCTTAATTGCAGTGATTTGGTTATTTTTATTCTTCCAAGGATGTGGCCTCACAAAATAGTGGAAGAGGAATATCATGTGGTTCAAAGGCAGGCTGGAGGTGTGTCTTCTTCTCTTGTGTTGCGGTGGCTATATTGGTGGCAACAAGAAAGGCACAGAGAGAAATTATTTTGCACCCAGGCCAGTGGTTTGCAGTCTTTGGGTTTGGGGAGGGGGCTTGAAACTATCTATTGGAATATTTTTTACTTATGGTGATCCTATGAATTCATGACCACCCTCCAGAAGGTTGTATAATTAACAGTTAGAACAAGAACATTCCTTCTATTCTTTCTAGCATGCAACTTTTTAAATGTTTGTTTCTATGACATACAGCCTGGGGGCATGCCACTAACAGTGTCCTAGTAGCTTTGAACAAAAATCTTCATATAATGTCTTATATATTGCATATCAATCACACTAGATCCTTTGTTAGCTTGGAAACCATAACTGTTTGTGACATGACTGTGGGACAGTGGGAATGTATTCATGAGACTTTCAGTTAGGGAAAATTAGAGCCATCCCTGGATCCATTCATTCATTCCTTTACAGTGGATGAAGTGATAAATTTTGAAGTATAGGCACTCACCATGACATGTCCCCACAGCCACA